GGCCCGGCGAGCGCCGTGAGCAGCGGCCCCCCTTTTCCGGGGCAGCCTGGAGCGCCGAGCGGGGGGCTCTGCCGCGATAACTTTAGCAGCTGCCTGCTAGGTAGACATTCAACAGGGGGAGCTGTCCTTTGCGGGGGAAGTGCTTAAAGGCCCAGGGAAAGAGAAGCAGCACGAGTTGAAGTTCTGCCTTGGCCATGATTATTGTCTGAATCTGAGATGAGCCTCTTTGTTTTGGTGTCAGGAACTTACTACTGTACAGTACAGTATTACTAAAGAGAAATATAATAGTTCAGGCATTGGTGGGTTTACAGATGACACTTAAGCCATAATGAGCTTTGTCTGGTTGACATTCTGATCAAGTACAGTGGGTTGGAAGAATCCTGCTATTAGTTTTAAGCCATAGGTTTCGATTTAGCTTGTATGAACCCAGTCAATTTTGACTTATGCAGAAGACCGTGATTATTCAATATGTGGCTTAATACAATATGGGCAATCATCATCTAATAGTTGTAAGCTATTATAGTTTATACTAAATAGTTTATAATAAAAAAGTTATAATCTTGAAGATCTTTTTTTTTTTCAAATCTGGAGTATGTGCATTGCAAACAATCTTTCCAAACCTATTTTTTGACAGTACCTTTGACATTGCGGTTATTGGTGGTGGAATTGTGGGTCTGGCGTCGGCCAGGGAGCTTAGCCTGCGGCATCCGTCCCTTGTTTTTGCGGTACTCGAAAAGGAAAAGGAGTTAGGTATGATATCTGAATTTGACAGAACAGTTGACAGACTTCTGTATTATTTCTACTCATCATATGTTGAACTTCTAGGAACAGTATTCCCAGGTATTAAATACTATTCAAGTAGTCCTTGTTTACCGACTGCCTTGTTTAGCTACCATTCGCAGTTACGACAGTGACAAAAAATAACTGTGACCAATCCTGGCATTCACAACCTTCACAGGTCTGTAAAGCAAAGGAAAGCTGAAGTAAGATATTAAGCATAGTCATGGTTTCAATTAGCAACCACTTCGCTTAACAACTGAGTTGCCGGTCCCAATTGTGGTTGCTAAAAGAGGACTGTCTGTAGTTCAATTACACAATCTGTTAAAAACCTCTTTGATAGGCCAATTTTACATACTTCTCATTCGTCATAAGACAGTTTAAAATTTCTAGCGACTTACGTTGTAATTTCTTGTGGCCACTGAATGGAAAATTGATGAATTACTTCTAGGATACAGATTTGTTGCCTACATGGAGTGGTATGATTCCTATAGCTTTCTGACAAATAGAAGCTCATCATATCTATACAGTTCCCCTGTATATCATATATAAAGTCAAGATAGTTTTGTATAAGACATTCATGGCTCTCAGAAAAAAATCAGGAGCAGGCCATGAGGACAAATGTGTATTTTCTGTTTGCTTGGTGTTCTAGTTTGAGTCTCTTAAATCTTACTGCTTAACATACGTGTTTATACTATTTTGCTATCATCCATGCTATGTGGCCATTTTTAGGCTTATTTCTATTTTAGCTTGCTATCTTTTGCTGAATTAATAATGAAATTATGTAAAATAATAATTCTACAATATTTTGATTAACAAAATATTATACATTTTGGAAGATCAAATGATAGATGTAACTTTCTATTTAGCTCTTCATCAAAGTGGGCATAACAGTGGTGTTATTCACAGCGGAATCTACTATAAACCTGGATCCCTAAAAGCAAAGTTGTGTGTAGAAGGGGCTATTCTCTGCTATGAATACTGTGACCAAAAAGGAATCCCGTATAAACAATGTGGCAAGGTAGGGTAAGTGCTGAAATTTTTGCTGTTAATCTTTGTTGCTAATACAGTTAAGTTATTTAAAGTTTTGTTGGCAGTGGCTACACTGGGGTCTTCCAAATGATTCTAAAGAGAAGCAGACTCAGTCATATTACAGATTTAATACACTTGATACATGATTATTATTGTTATCATCCAATCAGGAGAAATGGGCCTCAGCATCACATGTTAGATACCCAGCAGCCTGGGATTTTTTTCTATCCTTGTACCCATATTCTGATTTTCCTCTCAATTCTATTTTTTTCATTACTGTTTCATAATCACTGAACCAACTTCCAATCATGATGTAATCTCCAGTCTTAAGAGTTACACAGAATGAAATGTTACTGTTTAATTAGTCTTTTCCATCGTTGTTATACAGTAACATCAGAAGCCAATATATATGCTTGTGTGTGTGTGTGTGTACTCACTTCTTATGAGTATGATTGCACTAACTCCATTTCTCTTGGTCCATTGCTTTATTGCTATTTTATATTTGCAGTTACAAGATATATGAGCACACATCAGCATATCTATTTATCTATCTATTTTAGAATAATTGTGCCCTTTGGAAAGACAAAATGATATGTGGGTTGATTTTGTTGGTAGGCAAGGGTGAGTAATATGACACTTCCCTGAAGCTGCAACTGTTTACAATTAGATCTCGTGGGCAGGGATTTAGGTGCTGTTTAAATGGCAAGAAGAAGGTACAGGTAATTTTACTCACAGGAAGGCGTTCAAGATTTTGCCATAAGCAGCTGGCTGGATTAGTACAAGTTTCTTGAGATGTCTGCCCCAAAATATTAGACACCTGCTGAGTCAGTGATTGCATTTAGTGGAGGCCTAATGGTGAACAAGATAAGATACAATTATTCTGTTTTCTCTAAGTGTTTGGAGTTGATGTTGAAGAAACACTAGTATAGCGCAACTCTTTTTCATGATAAGGGAGAGATCAACCTGACACTTGTATCACCCAGAGGAGCAAGTATATAATACCTGTAGCAAATTCAGCTCTTACTGACAATTACTTTGAAGAGCAAGAGACTCTGGCTTCTTCTATTGTTCTCTGATTCAAAGAAATCAGAGTCAACAGTTGTTATCAATAAAGAATATCAACAAGGAAAGATCAGCTGAAACTATATTAGATATATATTCTTGTGGCCCACTACTTTATTTAGCCTGAATAACTGATTTTTCTCCACTCCTTTTTCTTGTGGGTCTTCATTTTCGTGTTTATTTCATAAGCTTGACGCAAGGCATGTCTTTCATTTAATTCCTATGAGCCATTTTGGGAAGAAGTGATTGTCTGAAAAGTAAAAATATAGTAAATGAGCTTAGCAAATTTATAATATCCAAACACTCCCTAATTTATTATGAAATAATAATCAGCTACATCAGCTACAAATGTTAATTTTTTAAAAAGTTACAGTACTCTTTCAGTTACAGCCTGTCCTGCTGAAATACCAGAGCCTCTAGCTAAGTAAAATCATGAAGCAAAATTTATATTGCCATTTTAATTAAATTCTAATTTAAGCAAATATTCTGTTTTACACTTCACAATGTGGTTGTCTCATGTTGCTCCTCCATGGTATTTTTTTATTCTGTAGTTGCTCTAGTCTCTTATTTCCTCTGCAGCTGATTGTTGCAGTTGAACATGAAGAAATTCCAAGACTCAAGGCACTATATGAAAGGGGGATACAGAATAACGTACGGGGGCTGAAACTAATCACTTCCAAAGAAATACAGGCCAAGGAACCCTACTGTCGGGTAAGCTCCTTTCCTGCTCTACAGTATCTAATCTTTTCCATGCAAATAACCTGTTAAATGTGGGGTGGTGCTGAGCAAAGTCCGAAGTCAATATCCCCATGCAATTTAACCGTGTTAGTACATAAAATTAAAATAGATATAGAAATTTAAATACAGGTTTTCCGTGCTCCAGTTCATCCATTTCTGTGCAGGCATATGCTTTCTTTGTATATAATGCAACTTCCTCTCCTTTTCTATTGAGTCTGTTTCTTTAGAATGTTGACCCAGACGACTAGAGCTTATTCAAATAATGTGTCATTCCATCAAGTTGCAGTGACACTTGGGTCATCCTATTTGTCCTCCTTTGTTATTATTTCAACTTCTATTTATTGCTAATGCTCTGGACATTAGTATAGAAATATCTGAGATTGTAAGTGGTACCTGCTATAAGCTTCACTGTTTGTTTTTACTTTCAATTTCTAAGTCCTTCCTCATTCATCTCCCTTTGACTCCTACATTGTTGACCCCAGTCCTTGGTAATATATTTGGTTTTGGGCTTTTGCTACCCTTCTTTTGGTGTAACTTAATGTCCTTCTGATGAGATTATGTTTCCTGAACATATCCTTCCCAATATGTATGAGATGCTACCTGTCTTTTGCAAAAAGTCCTTCATGTAGATAACACGGTTCATGATTGAGGAATCCAAATTTTTATTGGTGGCATCATCTATATAACCACTTGCTGACTTCCAGGATCCTGTTTTCTCTTCGTGGAAGAACTGACAAGTACACTATTTGCATTCCCCATGCTTTCACCTTCCTGCCCAAGGCCTCATAATCACTGAAAAATCTTCGAGGTCTTTTCTGGCATTTTTGTTCATCCTCATCTGAATAGATGAAGCAGTTATTATTAGTGGGCTTGAAGAGTCTTGACGGCCTATCATATTCTGAAAATGGACACCTGGAAGACAATACACCTTCTGTGATGTCACAATCTGCATGTTCTAGCCTGAGTTCTTCTCACTGGGAAATTACACGTTACCAGAATGCACCTTTTGTTCTTCAAAGTGGTTCCTGGGTTCTTTGACCTACTGGGACCCGCGTGTTCCATGAAGCTGAGGTTGGCAAGGTGGAGGCTTTGTACTGGCTTCTAGAGCAAGTTGCTGAGCTACCAGTGGCACTTAACATCTGCTCCTTTTTTTTCTCTGGGTGACAGGTTTTCATTTGTGTTCTTTCTTGTGTTCTTTGGCATTCATATAATTTCTCTGCCCCTGTTGAGTTACTTCACCTGTCATAGTGAGAAACTTCTTACTTTCCCTCATGTCTGATGGTGTATAAACTCTTTCTTCCTTTTACTTTTACTTACAAGCTTCCACCTCCAGCCGGTATAGTTTGGGTTTTCTGTTTAAAGGACAAACATTGTACATACCTTACAGATCACCATGAAGCTTCCTTCACTGTCCACGTTGCTTGGGGTCTCCCATGCAAAACTTCTTATTTGCTCATTTATTCTGGTTACAAGTTTCCTGGTAGTGTTTCTCTGGAACAGCTTTAGCTGAGACTGAATTCTCCTCCCAGCCAGGTTTGTGGCTGATTAGGAGTCAGTAACTCACTGCAGTTGCAATCAAGCCCCGGTGTGTGCTTAACATTGACCTTATACAGAAAAGCAAGTCCACTCTCCAAAGCCTCCAGCAATCTTATCCAGTCAGTTGCCAGAAACAAGAACCTACCTTCTTTTCTTCCTTGTCTGTACCTTCTCAGACTGCAAGTGCCCAAAAGCTGCTATTTGATCAATGGTTGACTTCCAGAAACAAGTTTCAATCCATATATGGCACTATTTGGTTTTATCTCACCAAATCTCTTCACCAATTGTTGTTTTAAAAGATAGGAATGGTATCAAGAACTGTACTGGGAATGTAAGATGGCCCTGTTCTAAAGCTTTCTTGAACAGCTCATTTGTGCTAAATTTTAGTCAAGTGCCACTTTTGTGTCTTAATTTGCCCTTCTGTCATGCCTTGCATGTGACCAGCACTATCTGAGTAAGCACATAGACCTAGTAAGCATATAGGCTGCCTTGCTGAAAGTTGCATTGATTCAAATGGCCCCTTTCTGTCTTCTTTGTTCTTTCAATATGAACCCTGTGAACAGAAGTGTTGTTCCTGCGTCCACCTTTTCAGGGGTTGATGGCTCTGGATTCCCCATACACCGGCATTGTGAACTACAGACAGGTGGCCCTGGCCTATGCTGAAGATTTTCAGGCAGCTGGAGGTACTGTGTTGACAGAGTTTGAGGTGGAAGAGATGGAAATGACAAAGGAAAGTGCTGACGGAAGTAAAGAAGGTAATCTACAGTAAATCATTTATTTCTGACACCTCTGTAATTTTACCCTTCTCCAGTGTTCTCTGGAATTTTCCCCTCAGGATTCACTGTGACATGCAGACCTTGAACTCACATGCATTAAGCTGGGGTTGCCAAGAGTGTGCCCCACCAGCATTCCCTTTGCAGCCCCCAAGACACAAGCCCCTGGCTTAAGGCACCTATTTCACCTCCCAAAACTCCAGAAACTTCAAAACGTAGATGTTGATGTCTTTTCTACTTTTAGAATGCATCCCTTGATGTGCCATGCAAAATCCAGAGTGGCCTTTAATTAGACAGAAAATTAAGCTACCATGAAGTTTATTTGATTTGGGCTTAGTGTGTATGAAGCAGCCCAATAATAACATATGCAAAAAACCAAGATTAAAAAAATCCTGGCTTAGCACAGTCCATGAACTCAAACTGCATTTTCTATGTATTTGAAGATCTTGCAGGTTGAAATTGCCTTCAACACTTAGGTTGATTTGAATAAGTGGTATGGTTCAGATGATTATATTTTTATAGGATGCATTTCCAGGAACTATTTCAAAAACTATTGTAAATTTTGTAGATGCTGAACTTCACTTTAGAACTCATTCACATCCTAAAGGCAGAAGGATTGTAGCTGGCAAACAGGACAATTAAACAACTTTCTTCCTTGCAATTTAATAAAGAATAACAACTATATATTTTTAAAATCCATTAAAATTGGACTGCTACTTGGTTTGAAATCAATACTTTAAAACTTTTTACTGAAATACAATACTTGATTCAGCAAGAAAAAGTTGCTTTATGTTTCATCACCTCCAGAATCCATAAGAAAATACTTTCTGACCATTTTCAGCAAAGGATACCTAGTAATATATGTATTATTTAAGTAAGTAGAAAGGCAGGAAGGGAGACAAAATAAGGGAAGAGCAAAATGCAGTTCAAAAGGTATTGTTGCGAAGCAAACCACACGGATGTGTCCATCTGGAATCAAGTTTGATTCAAAGGAGACTTAATATTTTATATAATGTTGCTTGACTCCCTGTTTTGGATGATTAGAGTTCTGTAACTCAGATCTTTAATTTCAGCCTGTGGCATACTGCTTAAAATGGTTAAACTATACTTCAAAGTTCATACGTAGCCTTTATGAGGAGGACTGAATGGGGCTCAAACTAAACAAAGGCTGAGAAAAGAAACCCAGGTTTTTAATGGACATAAATCACACTTAAGGATATACATTACAAAGAATATTACAAGAAGAACAGGGTTTTCTCCATATGCCTGCAGCTTAATCAAGATACTTCTAAAAGAAGAAAAAGAAAATGGCTCCAGATGAGCCCACTTTTACTTTAGAAACTATCATTTTGGTTTTAGTGTTGTACAAGGGAGAAAACAATTGCTTTATAATCCATTTAAATTCTTTTCATCTTATTATTTATAGGGATGAAATATCCAATTGTTGTTAGAAATTCAAAGGTAAGATACAGCCTTTCAACTGTATTTTTTAAGTATATATATTTGACCTTCTGATATTTTTCACTTGTTAAGCATAAAAAAGATTTTACCTTAATTGCTGCTTTAGTAAGTTTGTACTTTAGTTACTGTTATATTACACTCAACTTAGAGTGCTGTTTTACATAATAATTTAGTTCACAGGTTTCTTTAGTGATAAAATGGGAAGATTATTAAGCTAAAAATGATATATACAGAGTAATATATATACAGAGTTTATTATTAATAATTTAATAATAAAGCTCCATCAGTATCTGTTTTTAGAACAGCAATATATCCCAAAGTCTTTAAACATATCTCTGATATCAGAGGTGGAGGTTGTTCTCTACAGTATTACTCTATTTATGTCATTTTTCAGCCTTCTGTGCTTTCACCTTAATACATCTTCCCAGGGCATCACTAAAGAAACCTGTGAACTGAATTAATACACAAAACAGCACTCTAACTTGAGTGAAAAGAAGAGTGTAAGCCCCAGGTTACTTCAAGGACAAATATATGCTAACAATTAGTTGATGGGGTTTTTCCTCAACTCTCTATATAGAAAAGCAAATATAATTTTTTAATGGCTGAAAATATATAATCATAATATTACAAAGCATTACAGAGACACAGTTCCAGTCATTTTTATGAAAATCTGAAGTTCTAGCTGTGCCTATTCCCTAGTTGCTTAAAGCTTCTCAGTCCCTGATAAGCTCTGAGTTGAAATCCAGGTAACTCCGTGATGTGGAGTTGTTGGACTTCTGGCCTTTTCAATTTGCTAAGGTATCACTTGGTTGTCCAGACTAGCTTTCTACAGAGGTTCCTCTCTTCCTGAAAGACCTGCCTTTGACTTGAGCTGCTACTTCGGGGTAAGAAATCATCTCCTTCTGTCCTGGTCTCAGGTCAGGTCAGACATGAGGAACGGCATTGGAGGAAATGGAACACAGAGGAGTAAGCTTTGGGAGCTGTTTGCTTTTGAGATTGTGTTAGGCGTGCTATATTTGAGCTAACTGTATGCTGCTTTTGTCACAGGGGAAGGAAGTCCGATGCCGACATCTTGTGTCCTGCGCAGGGCTTTACTCGGATCGACTCTCTCAGATCAGTGGTTGTCACCCAGAGCCCCGCATTGTGCCTTTCCGGGGTGATTATTTGGTGCTGAAACCAGAGAAGTGCTATTTAGTTAGAGGAAATATTTATCCGGTATAACATTTATCAGTACTTCCACTGGTTGGGCAGAAGGGGGTGAAGCCTTGGGTTTTTAGGCACTATTGGTATTGCAAACAGTTCGTCAAACTTTAGTTGCTTGGAAAGTGTCTCAACCCCATTTCCAGATCACTGCCACCTCTCTCCCTTTACTCTGCTTTTACTTAAAGGCTTGCATCTTTAAGCTATTTTTTTTTTTCTGTTATAAATGTGTCAGTGAATTGAAATGTGCCATTTAGGCCATTGATTCTGACACTGTTTCATGCAGGAATCCAAATTAAAGCATCCCTGACAGGTGGCCATCTCGCTTCTGCTTGAACATATCCAATGAAAAAGAGCCACTGTCTCTCTGGGTAATTGGCTCCACTGTTCTCCATATCACTACACTGGACCTTCAGTTAAATGGGAACTGTTACTTTAATCTACTACTATTTACAGTCAAACAGATTTACTTTCTTGTAATTTAAATCTTCTATCCATATTTTATACTCTGGGATGAAAGGCAGATTTTGGTTTCTTTGCAACTTATTTTCAGTGATTGAAGGATCCTATTATATTCCATTAATTCTCAAGGCTAAACATACATAGTTCCCTCTATTTTTTTCCATAGGATTTACATACATTCTCATGTATGTTCCAGTTTGTCTGAATCCTTCTTAAAGTATGTTGTCAGAACTGGACACAATATTCAAGAGAGGGTATAACTAACATAGAATATAGTGGAGTTATTACTAACTGTGATCTAGAAGCTGTATTCCTGCAAATGCAGCCTAAAACTTCATTTGCCCTTTCTGTAGCTTTGTTACACTGTTGATTTATATTCAGTTTGTAATTACTTAGCAATCATCTCAGTTTCTGCAGATTTTATAAGTATTCCTTTAAGCACGTCAAATTGAAGAATACTGGACTTAAGGCCAGACCTTGTCTTATGCTAAACTTCCAGTTAGCTGGGGAACTATTAATGAGCATGCTTGGACAACTATTTTCAAGCCGATACAATATGTCATGCTCTCCAGCCCACGTTTAACTATCTTGCTAATCAGAGTATCATAGGGTAACTTTGTCAAAGCTTTGCTGAAATCAAGAAATGTTACATTCTCACAATCTTCTAAGAAGGTTAATCTAATCAGAAAATGAAGTAAGTCTAAATGGCTAGAGTAGATTTATTTGCTTAGAATCTTCCCAGGTAACATTGTCAGTCTGACAATATGTACAGTGGGGCAAAAAAGTATTTAGTCAGCCACCAATTGTGCAAGTTCTCCCACTTAAAAAGATGAGAGAGGCCTGTAATTTTCATCATAGGTATACCTCAACTATGAGAGACAAAATGG